TTTTACTGTGAGTCTTTTTTTCACTCATTCTGGGAGTGTTTTTTTTTTAATGTGTTTTATCCTTCAGTCTGTTTTCAGTGTGGGTTTTTCAGAGTAGAGGTAGACTTTCGTTTACAGATACTTAGATCTTTAATTAATAGTATACTAACAATCCAAATTCAAACATGAAGCTTTCCTTTACTGGTTAGCTTTCTTTTGCTATAGCAAGATACATGAGGTAATCAACTTAAAAAGAGGAAAAGTTTTTATTGGCTTACAGGTTTGGAGGTTTCAGTCAGTGGTTAGCTGGTCCCATTGCTGTTGGGTCTGTGGCGAGACAGCTCACCTCTGCAGGAGTGTGCGGCAGAGGAAGCCTGATAACCTCATAGCCAGAACATGAAAGGACCTTATTAACCCATTCAAGGTCATGCCCCCAATGACCTCGGATCTCCCACAAGGCCCCACCTCTGAAAGGTTTCTATCACTTCCAAATAGTGCAGAATTAGAGATTAAGTCCTTTGACAGGGACATTCAGGGAAATTCCAGGTCCAAACTCTGTCACTAGAGATGCAAATCTCCTTATGTTTTTATATTCAGTTTATTATTTTTGTTTGTAAATTTGCTATTTTAAAAATATTTTTAAAGCTCTTGGGGCTTTGTGAAGCATTCAGTCAATTCAAATTGAAGACCAAATTCACTTTACTCAACAGTTAGCTCCATTTAGAACCCGTACATTCTGTTAAATACTTAAATTACATCTGTAAAGTTGGTATAGTTTTAAAAAAATAGATTATATTTTATTGAAGTAAAATACACACAACACCAATGTACCATCTCAGCCAATGTCAAGTGTATATAGCTCAGTGAAATTATATGTCACAATGTTAAGAGTGTCTTGTAAAACTGAAATTCTCTACCTGGCCCCTCCTTTATCTCTAGCAACAATATGATTTTGACTATTTTAGCTACTTCATGTTAGAAGTACCATACAGTGCTCATATTTTTGTGACTGACTTATTTCACTTACCGAAATGTCCTCAAGAACCATCCGTGTTGGGTCTTAAATCAGAATTTCTTTCCTTTTGAAGGATGCGCCATGGGATGTGCATACTGTATTTGATTTATCCACCCATCCACTGGTGAACTCTCAGGTTGCCTTCATGTGTTCGCTATTGTTAATAATGCTGTTATGAACATTAACATACAAACATCTCTTTGATACTTTACTTCAGTTCTTTTAGGTACATATCCAGAAGTGGAATTGTTGGATCGCACAGTAACTATATTGCTAGTTTTTTGAAGACTCACTATACTCTTTTCCGTGATGGTTGTTCTATGTTGTATTCCTGCCAGTCATGTGCCAGAATTCCAATTTCTCCACTGTCAACACTTGTTATTTCAAAGTAGAAATCCTTATATATTTCAACATTACAAGTCTAAGATCAATTATATAATTGAATTAGAATCACAAAGCAAATCTAATTAGTGTCGTTAATCTGTGTGATACATGAATACCAAATATGTAAATTGTCCATAAGCCTGACTAAAGAACACTAATACTAAAAAAATCAATTTGCTTTATCATTTCTTTCTCTAATCCTAAATTTTCCAAGTACTAAATACTGGGAGTGCTGGATGGATGGTGACTGTCTCAGAGACGTGATTGGCTCAGGTAGGCTTAGGGATCTGAGCTGGGGCTACGGACAGACATATGACCAAAGGGCATCCTCTCCTCCCACAGACAGACATTGCCTTTGACGTTAACAGTGGCACAGCCATCACTCTCTGCAGATGGGATTGGTACCCTCATATGCTGTTCGTTAGATTTAAGCCTGCCCTTCCCAAACACTCAATACCATGACCTTATTTGGATGAATAAAATTACTTTACCCCGCATCTCCTGCTTTACTTTCTAGCCTGATCCCATGCATCTCACCCAGCTATGTACACTGAGGCTCCTGTTTGGCTGCTTAGCTGTGGTCGCTAGATGTCTCGTTTTCCTACTGTAAGCTGTGCTTCCGGAAGTAGCTGACTGGAGCTGTAGCTCTTCTGCAAGTATTCATCAACCCAGACCCATTTTTTTCAAGTAAACAATTAGTGTTTTTTTTTTCTTTTCTTTCAGTTTTAAGTCAAGCGTGATTCTAACTTTCTTTTCAGAAAATCCCTAGCCAACATACTGCTTTGCATTTCTCTTGGAATAGAACATAAAACCTTTAAGACAGCCTGCGAGTTCTGGCATGATCTGGCTCTTACCTCCTTCCATGACCTCATCACACACCTCTCTTATTATGCTCCAATTCCAGCCACACCGGCCTTCTTTCATTTCTTCCAACAGAAGTGGAGGCTCTTTCCTACCACAGGGCCTTTGCACAGGCTACCCTCCTGTTCCAAATGCTGTTTTCTTCTACGCGGATTATTCCTCAAGCTGTAGGTTTCAGCTGAACTGTCATTTCCCATACAAGTTATTTTCCTTCATAGAATTTAGCACAGTTTGCCTATTTGTTTACTGTATTTCTCCTCTACTAGACCAGTCATTGTATGAGGTCATGTGTGGTATTCTGCTTGCTCAGCACCATCACAGTGCTGGTTTATATTAGACAGTCAATAATTATTTATTAGGTAACGAGTATAGCAGTTGTCACAGCTATCATCATTAGCTTTAAATCCTAACTATTATAACCGTTCATATAAGCACTTTTGGCTCCTGGGAGGTACTGTGTAATTGTTGAACTGAGATATCTAATGGCAATATCTCCTGCATTCATTAATATAATTATTTTGCTATATTATGTTTCTTAGCTTCTAAAGCTGTTGTCTTTCTTAGCACGTGTCTTAAAGAGCAAAATGTGTCATTTGAGGAACTGTCCTAACTTTAAAAAATGTCACTATTAGCTAATTGGTTTACATTTAGTAACAAATATGGATTAGTATAAATATAAGTTCTACATGAGACTTAGTGGTTCATTTATGTATTTTCACCCCTGGTATCCTAGAGATAGATTCCTTGTTTCTAGAGGGCAGCCTTGAGATACTGAATGGTGGACATGTAGTTGTAGGTCCTATAATGCCTGCGGTTGAACACACCTCCCTTTGCCTGGTTCTGGTTCTCCACAACCTCCCAGATTGTGCCACAGCTCCTGGAATCTTAACCATTTAAAACCCAGCAGCTTAGAAATGCTTTTATTTACCGTATAAGCCTGAAAAGAGCACGTCTCTCTTACAGATTTCATATCCTTGTCTCTGCATCTTGGCACCTGTGTCTATAATACCACAGCATAACAATGATACCGAATTGCACGGTCAGATGACAAAAATGCTCAAACGTGAAATAAAATGCCGCGCTGTAAAAGGAAGTCAGAGTTCTGTTGTTTATGGACAGCACGAAAGCTTTTCAACACCCAGGTGGGGACGATGAGTTTTGGGGCGCGGGGGGAAGCGCGGCGGCGGAGGGTGGCTGTCA